TCCCGTCCGCATCCAACGGGCGACTGGACGCCCTCACCCCACCGCGGCTGTCCGGTCCCGCCTTGCCCAAGCTCAAAATGAACTATATGCCCGGCACCGCCAGCCTCATCGAAGACATCGACAAAAAGCACTTGGTCCTACTTAGAGATGGAAGGACACTTACAGGTTTTTTAAGAAGCATTGATCAGTTTGCTAACTTAGTCCTGCATCAGACTGTGGAGCGCATTCACGTGGGCAGAAAGTACGGTGATATTCCTCGAGAGATTTTTGTGGTCAGAGGAGAAAATGTGGTCCTGCTAGGAGAAATACTCTCGGGAGTCAGAGCCAGGCGGATCTCTGAGTTCAGGGCCAGCCTGGTCTACAGAGCGAGATCCAGGACAGGCACCAAAACTACACAGAGAAACCCTGTCTCGAAAAACCAAAAAAACAAAACAAAACAAAAAAAAAAACAGATTATGTAAGTCAGCAGTCAGTCTGAAGAAATGACATATTAAAGCCCAAGAGAACTCATAACCAGCGTATCTTTAGAGAAGCATTGTTGAAGACATCTCTAGTGGTACCCCATGGTGGCACATGCCTGTGATATCAGAAGTGTGGAGACTGAGGCAGAAGATTTCAAGTTTATGGCCAGTCTGCACAAGACCTTATTCCAAAAAGAAAACAAAGTGCCTGGATTCTGTGGATGATGAAGGATCCCAGCCCTAAGAACCTTTTCTTTAAAAGGTTACCCCATTGTGGTCATCATTAGTAGTTCCGCGGGTGAAATACCGTGAAAAGCCCAGGAAAGCAGAGCCAAGCCATTGTCTTTTCTTCACTCCAGGGTTACGAGGGAAGGGGTTAGGTGATCATGTGTAGTTTTTAGCAGATAACCTTTGACCCGGGTAACTTATGCAACTTGTGTGGCTTCTTCTAACCTCCTGCTGAGAGTCCTTCCTCTGATACCATGACAGCTGAGCTCTGAGACCTTGGAGGCATGTGTCAGTTATTATCCAGACTGAAACATCTGCAGATTTTTTTTTCTGGTCGGTGTCTTTCCAAACCACCTCATCAAAAGTCATGAAAGGGACTGGAAGGACGGCTATCAATAACTGAGTGCTTACTGCTTCCCTAGCTCTTCGGGAGAACCTGAGTTCAGTTCCCAGCACCCATAGACGGTAGCTCATACCTGACTAACTCCAGCTCCAGAAGATATGACATCCTTGTCTGGTCTCTGCCCACATCCCTGGCTAGGCATAAATTAAAAAAAAAAAAGTCACAGAGGGTAAGCAGCTCATCTGTAATCCCAGCATTCACTAGAGGAGGTCAATGAGTAGAGGCCAGCCTGGGCGTTATATAGTGAGTTCTAGGACAGACATTTTTTGCTGTATAACAAAGATCCTGACTGGGAGGAGTTGTGGGGAGGGGGCAGAAATATATTGCTGCTTTATCTATGTAGGCTTTCCATGTTACAGATAATTCCTATACATTTTAAAAATGATAAAATCTGTGTTTAGTGAGGCTCGTTTATGGTTCTGCATTACAAGATTGGTTATTAAATGTTTATGACAAATAATAAGTATATTATGCTGTGTTAAATGAAAATAAAATTGACAGTCACTATTTGCAAAAGAAAGAAAGAAAGAAAGAAAGAAAGAAAGAAAGAAAGAAAAAAAGAAAGAAAAAAAGAAAGAAGAAACTTGGAATTCTCTGGACTGCGCCTCAAGGAGTTCACAGTCTAAAGATGAGAGAAGAGTGGAGCACAGCAAAATGGGAGCAACCATAAATTAAGTCCAAGCATGGTGATAAGGGCGGGAAGAGGAGGGACTTCAACATTTATGGGAGGAATCAGGTCCCACTAAGGTGAAGAGGGGGTGGGGAGGTAGCCAGTCACTGGATGTTGAGCGATGGTGGTGCTGTGGTTCTGTCTCTATGGTTTCTGGCTTAGCAAGCCCATGTCTGACTATCTCTTGTAGCCTATGGAGGCCACCGGCCCTTGAGCAAAGACAAGGCTGCCAGAAAATTTGCATGACCAGGGCATCTCTGCCCCATTGCCATGTGTGTCCTCTGCGTTTCCCAACAGTCCGCATACATAGCTAACTGGCTTTAGTATGTTTTAGAGTTACACACTTCATTACGCTCTTTCTTGTTCTGACTACTAATAGACTGACCGGCAAAGACAATGGAAGGGGGCAAGAATGGTATCAAACGGAGAGGGGATCAATGCATTGTTGGGGTATTACCAATTGTTTGACCAGATGGAGTTTTCTAAACCAGAAGTGGTAGCCCAGGCCTGGGACCTCACCAACTGGGAGGCCAAGGAAGGGAGACGGTGAGTGGTGAGTTCAAATTCAGCCTCAGCTACTCAGTGAGCTGCTGTATGAAAAAATAAAGATTGGTGTACATGCAATGGAAAGGAAACACTGTATTTTTTTAAAAAAAAAGATATATTAGTATACAGGCCAGAAGTGAGCATCAGATCTCATTACAGATGGTTGTGAGCCACCATGTGGTTGCTGAGAATTGAACTCAGGACCTCTGAAAGAGCAGCCAGTGCTCTTACCCCTGAGCCATCTCTCCAGGATCAGGAGTTTAGGGTCATCCTTGGCTACACAGCCAGTTTGAGGCCAGCTGGGCTGCATGAGACCTTGTCTCGGTCTTCCACCCCCCCCCCACTCCCCCCACAAACAACCGCACCTCGAAGCCCAGTTCAGGCCTCGAGTCTATCATCCTAAAACTTGGGCAGTTGAGACAATGGAGCTTGAGACAAGCCTGGACTCTGTTTCACAGGAAGGAGGAAAGAGAAGAGAGAAGGAAGAAGAAAGAAAAAGAAGAAGTGGAGGGAGAGAAGAGAAGCATGGTTAAAAGTGGGGAGAGGAAAGGGGGAGGGAAAGAGGGAAGGGGGAGGGGAAGAGGGAAGGGGGAGGGGAAGAGGAAAGGGGGAGGGGAAGAGGAAAGGGGGAGGGGAAG